CGGATTTTTGCCCCAAAGAGGGGGACGGGGATTTTTTTCGAAGCTTGGGAGAAGGCCGACCTCAACCCCGGGGCTCAATAATGGCCCCCAGAGGCAAGCTACCTCGCTGGGGCCCACACGGTGAAGGCACACACCGGCGCTCAGGGCGATGACACAACCAGAATTCCTTCAGGCACTCCGCCGCTCGTGCCCCCCTCTTGTCGTCACCTACCGCGGCTCTAAACGTTAGAGGGCCCACAGCGTCCTAATCTAAAATCTGAGGATTAAGGATTCAGGCATCGCTTTAGTGAGGCCAAAGTGAGTTTATGGATGGGTGAGAACGATGCGCGACACGAGGAGGCACGCGGACCGACTCGTCGGCGACTCTGCTGCACGCCGTAAGGCGGAGAAGAAGGCTGCGGCGGCGGCTGCGAGCGAGGCCGAGCGTGCGGACTACCCGCACGCGCAGCTGCGCGAGAACGTCGAGTTCGTCATGGACGGCCTGGAGGCTGCGACGCAGGCGGCGCGCAACCCAGCGGGGTCCAATATTCAGGTCGCCTACTCGCTGCCTCCCGAGGGGGGCAGCGGGTTCGGCGACCTGGTGTACGCCACGGTCCCTCTGGGCTCCGTGGCGACCAAGGTCGCCCGGGACTGGCTCGCCAACGAGCTCTACGAGCCGTCCCGGGGCGGCAAAATTGATGCGGCCTGCAGGCAGGGACCGAAAGGTCGCCGACCTGATCACGGCTGCCGGCGCCTCGGCGCCGGCCGACGCCGTGTTCGGCGGCATGTTCGCGACGGGCGAGACGCCCCGCTCGACGACCTCCGCCTCCGAGGCGGACGAGGGCGACGGCGCCGGCGGCGATGGCGGGACCGGCTTCGACCTGTTCGGGCCGGACCCCACCCCCATGGAGGACCTTTGAGGCCCTCCCCAGTCTCACCCCACCTTACCTCTGCCCCCCCCCCTCCCCCCATCCCTCTGCCTCCCATAGGGCAGGATAGCACTAGCATATGCGCCTAGTGCGCACACTGGGCCCACATAGATGTGACCCGCCCGCTCGAGTGCGGCGTCCGGATGCTAGTGCTTGAGAAGACACCACAAACGCGGCACGGCCCGTTTTGGATATCTGCGGAGGTTCTGTCTTAGCACACACAGTGAGTCATTCGGAGTCATTCGATGGCCAGAGTGCGATTGTGTGTGCGCGCGGGAGTTGGTTTTTGTCGGGAGGGAGGGGCAGGCTGCTCACCCACGTGCACCGGGCCAGTGCTTGCACTTTGAATGCCGTGGGGCTCCTGCCCGTGTCCGGGCGTGGAGATGCGAGGGTCGCCCCCCCTTGCCCCACCACTTTGTGTGTGTGGAGAAATCTACCTTAGCCAC